ATCTGGGTGACTCGTTCCAAATGGCTGGTCTCCAGGCTGTCACACAGCCAGACCGGAGCCACCATCGTCTTCCCAGCTGGGGACACTGTGTCCATGTGTGTGTGTGTGTGTATGCAAAATGTAGAGAGAGAGAGAGAGAGAGAGAGAGAGAGAGAGAGAATCTGGGTGACTCGTTCCAAATGGCTGGTCTCCAGGCTGTCACACAGCCAGACCGGAGCCACCATCGTCTTCCCAGCTGGGGACACTGTGTCCATAGCCCACCAGTCAGATAGTCCTTCCTCGGCCCTGTTGCTCCACAGACACACTCCGAGCCCCTCCTCAACCGATTCTTTTCTGCCCAAGACACTGCCCACCCATGCTACTCACCCATCCACCTATGCGATCGTTTTCACTACGCCTGCTGGCCCACTTCCCCTCCCCGTGACAGACCAAAGCAGCTCCCTCCTGCTTTACACTCCCCAAGGCCCTGAGTCCTGTTAACTCCCAAGCAGGAGCTTCTTCCTCTTCCCCCTGCACCCCATATTCCAGGTTTCCCTCGATGTCCCAGGTGTGCTGCCCCCACCATCCAGGCCTGGCCCCTCTCCTGTCCTCCCCCACTGTGTCAGAGCTATCCAAGGCTGTTCACGGCAGTTCCTTCTCTGCTCAAGGGGCCCAGCATCTGCTAGCCTTGTGCCCGAGACTCACGGGCCCTGGGAGGGCCCTGGAGAGGGGAGAAAAGCCGGGAGCCCCCTTCGCATCCCCAGACCAGCCCTGATGGTGCTGAGAAGACAGAAGCCCTGTGAATTAGGGGTGACTGTTCTACTGAGCACACAGCTCTCAGCACACAGGGGTCTTTCCACAGCTGGGCTCGAGAAGCCTGCAGTGGGACTTTCATTAAACCCCGGTGGATTCTGACAAACAGTGAACCAGTTACCGTGTAAACCTGAGCGCTCCCAGGGGTTTCCAAGACTGTAAATCTTTACAGGAGCAGACTGCCACATCATTTCCTCCAAGGAATGGCTGGTGGATTTGAACTTCCGACCATGAGTTTAGCAGCCCAGTGCGTCACCAACGGCACCACCAGGAGTGAGGCAAATAGGGCTGTGAAATGCAAGGATCAGAAGAGTGGGTCCCGCCCACCCCCTTGAAATGTGTTTCCAGTTAGGCTTGAGCCCCTCGAAGGACCTGCATCACATGTGGCGTATGCAATGGCCCGCGCACACCCACCTTCAGCCGCAGCCGGGCTTGCTGCAGGCTTGTCACTGCCCCGGCCCTGGAGCCTGGCTGCCCCAGCCTACCAGGGCCAGAATGCAGTCTAGCACTGGAGTCCCGTGGTCTTGGACTACCAGGGATTCCTTTTTACCCATCAACTTTGTTGGGTAATTTCTTCTTAATTTTTTATTGTGGATTGGGTGAGAGTTGACAGATCAAATCCATTTTCCGTCCAATAATCTGAACATACTGTGTTTCATGTTGCTGGTGGCAATGCCCACAGGGTAACATCACGTACCCTGCCTCTGCCCAGTGTTTCCCGTGGCTATCCCGCCTCCCTTCCTAACCCTCCCAGCTGTGCCCTCTGGTCACAGAGGGTTGACCATTCCAAGGTGCGTGGAGCTCCACAGGGCCCCCTTGCCCTTGCCGACTTGTCTGTTGTTGCTCGGCCGGAGGTCAGTCCAGACTGAGGGCTGACTCAGGGCAGCCATCTCAGGGGTTAGTGCTAAGGTCCGTCAAGAACGGCGGAAACCGTCTGCTCTGGAAAGTGGCAGTTCTACAGGACTCGCCCTGGAAAGGGCAATGTCCATCCGATAAGTCACCTTGCTCTTCAACGTCGTTCAACGTCTTCAAGAAAAGGTGCTGGGCCTCTCCAGGCACCTCAGACCCCACCCACAATAACCCAGAAGAGTGGGTCCAGCTAGTTGAAAGTGTGACTGGGCCAGGCAGCCATCCGGTGGGGCGGGGCTGTGGAGGGAGGCCAGGTCTACGCTGAGCGGTGGTAGTTGTGAGATACACTGTGTTTTAAGCCAAGGAGTGCAGGCGCTCAATTAGGCCTAATTAAGGACACACTTTGCTCAGTGATTAGATCTGAGGAAGCAGCACTTCAGCAAAGCCAGCATGCTGTGGCTCCGATGCTGAGACTCGGAGGACTCCAGGGTGTCTGTGAGAGGGTCCAGGGCCAATGTCTGAAATGACAGGTCTTGCTGAAGAGCAGAGGCCACCCCCCACCTCTGTGGAGCAGGAGGAAGGATGCACAGTTGTCGGGGGTGCTGTGTGGAACCTGTGTTAAAGGCTTGAAGTCAAACAAGCAGCCATCTTGCAGGGAACAACTAAGCCCACATGGAAGAAACACTCCAGCCTGTGTGATCACCAGGTATCAACGGGGACAGGTTATCAGAAATTCAAAAACAAATAATCATATCAATGTGAAGGAGAGTTACCCAAAGCCCATCTGTTGATAATTGGAAACTCCCTCACAGAAGGGTCACACGGAAGGGATGTTATAACCAGGGTGCAATATAGCACTGACAGAACACTAACATTACTCTAGTTCCTTACTGCTTCCTGCCCCTACTATCATGGCCCCAATTCTGCCTCAAAAATCCTGCTAGACTGGTGTATGTACATTGGTACAGATAAGAGCTTTCAATACACGGAATCCAGGATAGATAAACCCCTCCAGAAACAGTAATGGGAGTAATGATTCTATGAGGGTATGGGAAGGGGGAGAGGAGGAAGGGGGAACTGATAGTAATGATAGCTGTATAAGGCCCCTTGAGGGGGACCAACAATAGAATTGCAGGTGAAGGGATACATCAGACAGTGTAAGATATAAAAAATGATTATAATAATATATAATATATTTAAGGTTCCTGAGGTTAGTAGGGTGGGAGGGAGGGAATAAAGAGGAGCTAATATCAGAGGGCTCAAGAAGAAAATGTCTTGAAAATGATGATGGCGGCATCTGTACAAGTTCACTTGGTATCACTGATTTTGGGATTGTTACAATATCTGTAAGAGCCCCCAATAAAATGATTAAAAGAAATAAAAAGGCAAACTCTCCTCAATTATGGGAAAGAGTTTGACCTCATGAACGAACGCATGCTCCTTTGTGTAGAACGGTCGGCTGGGGGGCCCTGCAAGCACTGCTGGCAAGGAAAGAACTGAGAGGAACTCTTTACGGAAGGTAGAAAGACCGTCCTTCCCCAAGGCCGCTGATCTTGCAGGTAGCTGCCCAACGTGCAGCCCCAACGGGCCACCAGGGCCCTGACCACGTCACAGAAGGCGCTGAAGCCCGGAGCTGGGGTTGCTGACCTTGTATTTCCCATCAAGGACCAGCGACCAGTGAGGAACCGTTTCTAAGTGGTTGGGGGTGGGCAACAAAATAGACTATCTGGTGCCACACAGCAGTGATGGGAAGTGTCAGCTTCAGTGTGCACACAGTGTTTCGGCGGTTGTTTTACAATGAACTAAGGGGGGGTGGTGATTGCAGTGCTCTGCCAAAGACTACTGTGACCATCTACTTCCAGGAAGATGTACAGCCTTGGGAATCCTCTGGGGCCAGTCCTCCCCCATTGGGTTGCATGGCGATGGCGGTGGTGGGTGGGATGGGAAGGGGTTTTGTGGGAGGCTGGGTGCCATTGAGTTGTTTCCAACGCTCAGCAGCCCCCATGTCTAAAAAGTGCCTCCTTCCTCTCCTGCCTGCGGCAGCTCTGGGCAGAACTGAGTGTCTGTGATGAACATCGCAGGGTCTGCAGAGCCCAACACGGTTCCTCACTGGTCGCTGGTCCTTGATGGGAAATACAAGGTCAGCAACCCCAGCTCCGGGCTTCAGCGCCTTCTGTGACGTGGTCAGGGCCCTGGTGGCCCGTTGGGGCTGCACGTTGGGCAGCTACCTGCAAGATCAGCGGCCTTGGGGAAGGACGGTCTTTCTACCTTCCATAAAGAGTTCCTCTCAGTTCTATTCTGGCGCACTGGCTCGTGATGAGTCAGCATCGACTCCAGGGCAGTGTTTTGGGGGGTGGGGCGGGGGTGTGTGACACGGATAATGTGAACCTCTTTGTGTTTCCTTTCTCATCGGTAGCTTCGCTGGCCAAAATGGCCCACGTGTTCGTGTACGGGACCCTCAAGAGAGGCCAGCCCAACCATCAGGTCCTGCTGGACAGCAGCCACGGCTGGGCGGCGCTGCGGGGCCAGGGCCGCACGGCCGAGCCCCACCCTCTGGTGATCGCGGGCCAGCACAACATCCCGTACCTGCTGCGCCTGCCCGGGCGGGGCCACTGCGTGGCTGGGGAGATCTACGCGGTCGATGAGCAGATGCTGCAATTCCTGGATGAATTTGAAGGCTGCCCAGACATGTACCAGCGCACCCTGGTGAGGATTGAAGTCCTCAAGTGGGAAGGCAAACGCAGTGCCCCTGTGGAGACGCCAGCTGCCGACAGCACCATGCAGTGCTTCGTGTACAGCACCGCCACCTACTCGCCGGAGTGGGCCCTCCTCCCGTACCACGACAATTATGACTCCCAGGGGACGCACGGCCTTCGCTACAATCCGCGGGAAAACAGATGAGAAGGGAAAGGCGCATGGGCCCGACGGGGGCCGAAGCCAGCCGGTGATTATGAGATTACCGGCCTGTGGGCCGGCCAGCCGGCGGAGAACGCTGCCCTTTTAAACCAATATTTGTGAAACTCGATCGTGTGGGGGTGGGGAGGGTGGTTTTCAGTGAAGGCCAGGCTTACAAATAATTGTGACATACAAATGACCAAATCTTACCTTTTTAATCCATCAGATACTGTTCTACTGCTAAATGCTCAAAACACATGGTAGACTGGATGTATTTGATAAGAAAAAATTTAGATTTTTGTTCCCATAAATGACATTTAGACAGAACTAGTGTGTTATCATTGTGCTTTTGGGGGGGGGGTTGTTTTCTTTGGGGGGGCTTTGCTTTCATCTGGAGATAACATTTAAAATGAATTGTCAAGGCTCGCTTCGTGGTGCTGCTGCATTTCAGCAGGTCACTGTATTGATTCTGGCCTGCAGCGCCGAGAAGTTTTTGTTCATCGGTTTGTTTTTAAATAAGAGCTGCTTTTGGATGGCCCAAGGTGCAGGAACCCAACATAATTCCTCAAGCAAACCATGCTGCACTTGAGATCGGAGCTAGGGCTCTCCCTCAGGAACTGTCAGATTGCATTCACGCAGGGGCTGTTAAACATGATTCTTTAGAATGGACCAAGATGTTCTAGGAATAAGCCATCAGTGTTCCTGCTATTGCCCATGGGGTGGGGGTTCGGGAGGCAGGTTTACTTACATGGGAGAAGGTTCTGTTCATTCTAACCTGCTGAAGTCATGATCAGCCACTTCTGGGCGGACTCAGCCGTCCAGGGGCAGTGAGGCCAAAGCCCCCCAGCCCTCGGCTCCGAGACCCCACCACTGATTCAGGAGGGACACAGCCCTGGGCAAGCCTTTCAGAGAAGAGCCGACATAGTAGTAATTTGTTCTTCAGGCCTAACAGAAAGCTTAGCTTCCAAATACAAACAGCACTTAAAATAATTTTAGCGAGGCACGAAGTAGCAATTACTTCCCACCTCCATCTGATATTTTGTCAGTGGAGATTCAAACCGGCGCACGATTCTCGGCACGGGCTTCCCAGCAAAGTACGACACGTAGCCCAAGGATTCCGGGACCAAGTGAAAATGCAGCTGCTGGTCCTTAGTAACCAAGCTCGCTGTTGGGACAATTTCACTCACTCTTCAACTTAATGGTAGATTGTGATCACTAACTGCATCTGGCACAAATACATGATCATTATTTTTAGCCCGTTTTTTCTTAATTGGGAACTTGTTTTTCAATACACACACACACACACACACACACACACACACAGTGGGGTGGGTGTGAGGGAGCTGCGGGCTGGCGCCCAGGTCTGGGGGAGCGGGCAGGGCTGTGCTCCAGAGTGGGTAAGGGGAGGGGGGAGGGAGGGTACTACTGATAAGCGACATCTATTGGAGTCTATTCCAAAGAGTCCTGGCTGCACATGGACATGTCCCTTCTCCCCAAGGTGACTGAGACCCGGGCTGCAGCCACTGCTGTGTTGCTGGGCGCCCTCGAGTTGCTTCTGGCCAGTGTCCCTGTGTGGTCGAGAAGGGTTCCATTCTGAGGACAGATCGCCTGGTGTTTCTCCCACGGAGCTGCTGGGGGAGTTCAAACCTTTGGGTTAGCAACCAAAGGCTGACGTTTGTGTTGCTGTTTTCAACCACCAGGGCTCCTTTAGATCCAAAGTTACCCGTGCTTAGAACCCCAACATCGCAGGGGGAGAAGGGGTAAAAATATCCAGCTATGTTATATGTGGCCTTTAAGAAGTTATGAATAATCAGAAACGGGGGTTGAGTCCTGAACTCGGGAAAGACGTGAGGTATTCAGATTATAAAATGGCAAATGGTAACAATTAACTGGAAGTCGGGGGCCTGCAAACCTATATCAATTTCTTAAAGGCTCGGAAGGCACTGCTAGTATTTAAAGTCTTCTGGCACCGATGTATCCTCTTGTGTACATTGTCTTCATTCAAAAAAAGGGCAAACTAATATTTAGACAAATGCTCCATTTTATTGATTTAATTTTGACACTAGGAAATCTCACAGCAGAAGTACAAATCATATGTACAAGTATTTATATCAATAAAATTTTCCATTGGTGATTTTTTGGCAGAATACTGGTTTTGACTATATGTGGAATAAATATGGCCATGTAAAATCTGCCACACAGGAGTGTTCCTGTAAAATGCTTGAATAAATTGAGTGTGAGAGAATCATAACAACGAACGGCTAATTAAATTGGGTGGGGAGGAGAAGGCTGTAAGTGCTTCACTCCAGCTCCACGAGGAGATCCCCTTCTCCCACGGTGTCCCCCGGCTTGCACTGCACCGATCTGACCTTGAGTGGTAAGGGGGAGAGTCAGGTTAGTAAACGAGATGTTGGGGGGTGAGGAAGGTCCCCAAACCTCTGAGCATGAAGAGCCGTCTTCTCAGGCTCCAGGGGCAGCCCCCCTGGCCCCCACCCAGCAGACACAGGGGCAGGGCCTGCCCCCGGGAGGTGAGCTGGGCCTCCCCACGGCCCCTTTGTTGAGGGTGTTCTTGCTACAGTTCCCCCTCCGGCACCTTGCAGAAGTCAGGATTTCTAGCCAGCATCCTAAAATGCCAGAAACATTTATGCCAGCTGAGTCAACACCGGCCCGCCTCGTCTTTCTTGTGGATTTAGGTTAGAGGGGATGTGCTTTGTGAGTTAATGGCAAACTCACTGTAGTGTTTAAAAAAAAATTTTTTTTATATCATTTAAAACTGGTACCAATCACGAGGGGATACTCCCTTGCATGATCCTACACTTCTTTTGAAGGGAGATGAGATGCTCAGGTCTGTGGCCAGCAGACTGCCCTTGGTAGAACAACATGCCCTGAGCACCGTGGCGCTCACGCCCAGGAAGGAATGCCGCCGTCATTGAGCCTTTTCACTCTTCCCACCTCCAAACTGGGGTTCAAAGATTTCAATGTAATAAGAAGGGAGGAAGGTGGGGGGGGGAGGGGAGGAGACAGTTTATTTGATTTCTTGGAGGCTCTTGCTTGGGCATGAAAATCAACAGTGGGTTAGTACTCATTGGCCGTATGGGCAACTGGCAAAGGCCGGAAGCACCAGCTCTGATGTGGCACACTCGCTCGTGTCCCCTGCAACTCCACCGTGAGCAGACACCAGCCTTCTTTGCTTAACTGCCAGCCGGCGTGTTTAAGAATGATGTGAACCTGCACAAGAAATCCTTCAGGGCCTCTGCCAGCAGACGCTATCGGATTCTCATGGAGGTGGCTTTTTAAAAAGTCATCTTGATAGTTCCCATATTTATACTTGGTAGATTTTTAATGGGGGATCTATTTCCATGGTCAACCTTTTCTCTGGGAGGAAAAATGATCCCCCGCTTGGCCAGAACCCTGCGGACTGGGTCTTCTGACCCCTCCCACAGTACCTAGCTGAGTTGGAATCAAGAGGCGTGGGGATGGGAGAGGCCAAGGGACAGACAAGGCTGATTCCAGTCAACAGAGGTTGGGCCACAGTAGAGACTTCACTGAGACCCCCTCTCCGGCCCTGGAAATGCAGCTCTGGGTGACTATGGTGAGGGGCCAGTGCCGTGTCTTCTGAGGCCCGGGCCTCAGTGGGCAAATGACCTGTCCGGACACATCCTCAGGAAGTAGGATGCTCCTCCTGAGGCCAGCAGCAAAGGACCTGGGCATGCCTCGGCCAAGTTCTCAGCATGGCTAGAAATTCCAGGGAGCTACTGAAGCATGAAGGTTAAGTAAATCATTTCAATGAACAAATGCAAACGTGTCTACACTAAAAGACACCAACATTTCCTGATTTACTTATTTTTAAGTCGTCAAATTTACAAGTGGGATTTTTTAAACCAAAATAAACAAACAATGCAAATCCTATCATTTGACAGTGAGTACAAATGCTTGCACCCCTCTTCCTGCCCACTCAGGGGACCCCAAAAGGCTGCCAATGGCTTTCATTTTCTTTGGGGGGTGACAGACCATGGACAGGCAGGGGTCTGCATGTCTGACCGTGAACGTTTGGTGACCTGATGGTGTTTCCTTCTCTCTGCCACAGCGCACATGGTCCCTTGGGTTTTCTTCCCGGGAGTACATGACTTGCAGCCCCGAAACTGTCTCCACCCTCATCTTCCAAACCCAACCCCCCTTCAGGAAAGGCCATTTTCCTCCAAGCTGTGTCTTTCTCTCAGAGTGCTGAGGTTACTCATCCACAGGACTATGGATTTTTTGCTTTTTTTTTTTTTACCCTCCAAGGAGAAAATCTTAAGGAATTTTACTCTGATCGAATTTTAGCCCTAATTCATCTCATTGGTGCCCGCCCACCAGGCCCACCCCCAAATCATTCAGCTTCCACCTGAGTACTGGGGGATTTCAGCAACTCTTGATCGAAAATGGAATTGCTCTCTTTGTGAAGAAAAGATCATAAAGAGTCGCGTTAATTTCTGCAATCTGTAAGACCATTTCCTGCTGTGTAACCTAAGTCTCAGATAACTAACTGCCTCCAAGACAGATGTAAACATTAAACATTAAAGCGTCCTCAATTTGGAAGGCATGAAGGTGAAGAGCAATTGTCCCGGAATGACCTGAGATAACAGCAGCTCTTATTGGAAGGTCTGCTTGATGTGGGACAGGGGTGCATGCATGTAGAGGGTGAAGTCCCCCCTCTCAACGTCCCCGTCTGTGAGGGCAAGGTGGCCAGGGTGATCAAGATGGTCCCTTTCAGGCAAAGGGGTAGGTGCTGCTTTGTGTGTCGGTGTGCACGTGTGTGGGGCCAGGGGGCGGGGTGAGGGGGCATGTTGCAGAAACATACCTTGCCAGTTTTCCCAGCTGCCATACTGTTCTGCATCTTCATGGCTTCAATCACGCAAATCTCCTGGCCTTCTACTACCTGGAGAATGCAGGAAAGTGAAGAGAGGATTTCAGAGCTTCTGATGAGCAAGCAATACGTAAGTGATGCCATTCAGAGCTCCTTTGCCACATTCTCCGACATTGTATACAGACAGCAGCACTAAGTTCACCTTCATGTGGAACAAAACTCACAAGCGTGAGGGATATCAGGTGGGCTGGTTGGTAAGAGACTCCTGGAGTCTCCCAACTGTGGACCTTGCTTGGTCGCCCTTCAAGTCAGGGGCTACACTCACCCCCGTGGCTCCTTTTTCAGCCAAACAATAAGCAGGTCTTTACAGGGAGGGGATATCACCACCAGTGATGGGTGTACACCTGGGAGCCATTCACCTGGGAGCAAGGAGGCAGCCTCCCCCTGGACAAAGTTCCAAGGGGTTAGGAAGGAGGGGTGG